TAATTCAAGGAAATCGCACGTTTTTCCCTTTTGAATTTTGGATTGCATATCGTTATACGAGTAAATTTCTCAAATTTTGGCGTTTTATAGCTAAGATTGAAAATGGGTTTGGTGATTTTTCTGGTGTTCATAATTGCTGCATTTCATCGTGACTTTCGTATTTTTAAGTCGAAATGGCAAAAGAGTTATGAAAGGTTATTGTTAGGATTTTTTGAGTTCCTAATGTGGTTTTTATGTTTAAATACTAGAACTTGAACTAGGATCGGCTAACATAAATCATCAGCTATTGATTTTCAAATCTTACCATTGAAATGATGATGCTATATTTAGTTTCTCAAACACTTAGAAAGAATCCTTTTAATTGCATTTTGGTGAAGTTGTTCTGACAGATCCAGAAAAAAGGTCTAAAAGGGGCTATTGATAAAGCTGAAGAAATTGGCGTCAGTATACCAAATGCTTACAGTTTGATAACGTTACCTAGCTAGTGTGAAGGTATTTAATCATTTATCTTGTGATAGAACTTTTTAATAGTGTTGATTACCTCTAAATATGTTACCTTTCGGATATTTTGTAATTATATTATTCCAGGAACTGCAGATACACTTTGAAACTACGGGACCAGAAATGTGGGGGACTCTTTGGATGGTGTAGACCTGTTTGTTGCTGCAATCGGAACTGGTTGTATTGTTACAGGAACTAGGCATTACTTTAAAATGATGAACAACATTCGGGTTCTATTTGGTTTTAGAATAACCAATGTCCATTTAACATCAATAGTTTCACTACTCAATATGATCTATACCCTTGTTCCTGCAAGATATCAGTATATAAGGAAAGTTTTGAGCTGATAATAGTGTTACACATTTAAAATTTGTTAGCTTAATCGGATACATTCATTTTTAGATTTTATAGGTACCAATATACAAATTCAAAGTGTTAGTATTAGTTTCTCTTTTGCTGCATCCCCTCCAAATCTGTTAATCCTTTGAACAACTTGTGTTACTTGGATGGTTGGTGAGGAACCTGCAGAGAGGAGTGTAATCTCTGGAGACAATCCAGATGGAAAGCTTTCCATTTGGTTACAGAAGCATAAATGAAATTTTTGTGCTCTTTTTTTGCCTTCTTTTCTTTTAGCATAAGTATCGGTGCAGATTATGGGTTAAGCAATCTTGGATGTTAAGTTGCTTGATGAGGTTGCCAAGGTAAACAATGCTTTCCCACTTCTATTTTTCAGTCTTTTTGTATACCCTTTCTTATATTTCCATAAT